GTAAGACTATAGGGAAGGCAGCTAGTCATACCACCCACCGCCAACTCTTGGGTTACTCTTTTTACCAACAAATAATGGGATTGACCGTCACATTATAACGCCCCCACGTCTGAAAGGGCGAGCATGTTTGGTGTGACAGGGATTCGAACCTGTGACCTGCAGATTGCGAGACGAATGCCCTAACCACCTGGCCATTCAGGGCAGATATTTTCAGTCCAGGGGACGGGTACTCCAGTTAGTAACTCATTAAGAATTTTTAAAAACGTTAACAGAAAAAGGCCGAGTTTTATTCTGATGCAGCTGCCTTTGAAATCCTATATTTAAAAAATGGTGACATTAAATTTAGTGTAAATGTAAATTTGACCTTACTATTAACATATTATGTTAAATATCTCAGAGCGTCTTAAAAAGGCTCACTAGTTTTGAGTATTGCGATGTTAAAGCTATAAAAATATTCTCGCTCGAAAGTCTAAAATTATAAAATTAAATGTTTTTACTATAACGGAAGAAAAAATTTAGTAATAATCAACCACAACGAAGGACAAAACATTGTTATTTTGTTATTCTTTAACACTTAACTGAAGAAGAAAATCGAACTTTTTCACTGGTTGAAAATGTTATTGAAACAATGGTAGTTGAAGTTTGCATACATGTTATCTCAAAGTGTACATTTTAACATGTGTAATGCTACAGATTGAAAGAAATGTTGTTAACTAGAAGGTTTTAACAGAGAAATAAGCTACGATAGTATGGAGATGCTGTAGAATTACAATCCATTGTTTTTAGTATGTAAAATTTGAACATTCTTTGTGCGATATATATATAGACACAGACAAATACGTATATATATACACACACACACACACACATATATATCAATCCGCAACGAAATGACAGTATTTTGTTTGTGTTTATTTGTTTTGGCGCAAAGCTACACAATGGGCTATCTGAACTGTTCCCCAAGTTCAGCGAAGTGAGAACATCTGAGATGTGATTTCCTGTGTTTTTCGTTTTTTCTCGATCAATTATTTCTATTATATCAAGAGTTATACTGGTTTGATAGATATATCAAGCTTTAGATACTCAAATATTCTTCCACCAAAACTTATCTTTTTTTCCAACTCAACTGCACTTTGAGAGATACGAAAAAGACAAATCAATATTAATCCTTTTATTGTATCATTTTTTGAAAACAAAATACACTAGCTTTTATTAATTTCCTAATAACACATAGTTTTTAATTCATGCATCTAAAGTTCAGCCTTACTTGTAGTCTGAGTACGAGTTTCCAGCCGGTCCATCTGGCCAATTCAAATAACATAGAGTTCTCAGACTCCCATCAGGATAACGGTACGTCAGAGTCGTCGAGTAGAGCAAGGTAGGAACTGATAGAATAGTCCCGCTGATCCAAGTTACCCCTACAAGTAAGTAAACAACCTTCTTGGGCATTCGCGGAGTAAGAGGGTGAACAATAGCGATAAATCTAGACAAGGAGTAAAAAATGAAAGAAAATATATTATATTTGTGCACCGACCGTTTATTACCAACCATTAGACGAAAAGGAAATGAAGATAACTGAGGAGAATCATAACTGTAAGCAAACAGTTTTATCTATATAAAATTTGTTATTGTATTTGCTTTGTTTTGTCAGAAGTACGTACATCTTTGTGATGAATGAGGTCAGGGGAGTTTTTGAGCAATGATTCCTTTTGTTCAAGAAATCCATTATCTATATAAGAGTCACATATATATGTAGCTATGAAGCGAGTCAGGCTTAATTTCAGGAGACATAAGATACTGTAGTATCTTAGATAAAAACATCATTCAACTGAAACCCTTTTGGAAAGATCAAGTGAATAGGAAGAGAATATAATAAAATTCAAAAAAATAAAAGCTTTATTTGAATATTGGAGCTTAGGGCTTCGAGTCTCAATCAGTACCTAAAAAAAACAATATTATAATTAGGGTACAGTGAAAAGCACCCTCACTTCTTTCTATCAATTCGCATTAATTGGAGGTTATTTGTGCGTTTTTGCCATGTTTTTTATCAAATTACTTCTTCTCCTACTCTGTCTCACAGTATTATTATGTTTGTATCTAGTCTACTTTAACATGCTTAAAAACAGTCTTCTTAAAAATTAATATACTATAATTATTTTGAAGTTGTATTTCCTGTAATTTGTTTGAGCATTTCCAATATTTGTATTTTGGTTTGTTTGATCTAGCCTATAAACTAATTTTGCTTCAGCTTTGGAATTGCTGAGATCATAATAATTGTAAATTGAGTAGTGCTACGAAGTAAAAGTTTCAGAAGAGTAAATGTATAAGATCTTTCTTTATTTCATATGGTATTTTTCCCTGTTTGACTGTCTATTGTATCTATAGTAGAGTATGCAAACACTAATATTCTTAGAGTTGCGTGACGCTTTCAAGATTTCATTTCCAAATGCGATCTGACAAAATTTTTTTGTTTGTTTGTTTTGGCTTCTTTCGGAATAATGGGTTGAATAACATGATCTGTTGAAAAGTTATCCTAATTTAATAGAAAAAAACTCTTTGAGTTATTACTTCGTAAATTACTTTTCACGTATCTTTCAGTAACAGATTGAGCGCTAAAAAATGAATACAGATGAATATTTGAATATTAAATTCAAGAAATTTTTAACAATGCTATAGATGCCCTTACAGATGACATTAATGCGAAACAAAAACCACATTAATAAATTGATAGAAATGTACTGAAGATAGAGAAAACTTATTTTCCATATTTTCAAATGTTATCATTTTATAATCAAAATCAAACGTAGCTTGCGTTATCGGTAGATTATTTGTAAAAAAATAAGGCTAATACTTGGTGTCTAATCATACTCAAGTATTCAGTTCCAGATATTGACGATAGCTTTACTGGTTTTATTCTTAACTGACTTGTACATATGCAGACAAAACGGTTAAAATTTAATTATTAAAGAAAATATATAAATGTTGTTAACAGAGCCCAACTTAACTCCATTGCTGTTTATTTACAGACAAACGGATTTTTCAGGATATATCTTACTTGTTTGTTTATCATTATTTATTAGAACATTAAGAAATTTTCTTAAGATGAAAAATTACTTAAACGCATGTGTTATTGGAATATTACGGTATTAAGCTACTGTTTAATAGATGCACATTTCAGTGGATCAAATAATTCATTCCACCGTTGGTTCTCGCACAAAAGAAAACAATGATTTTTGTGACAATCTTGGATCGACTACTAATAATTTTAATCGTAACAAATCAAGAAAAGAATATTACTGAAAAAATATCAAATAATGATGTTTTAACTTACGTGGCTGCACCAGTTGTGTCAAAAGTTCCATAAATTTCGTGGTAAAGCAGCATCATTATATCACATATCCAAATAATTAATGAAGGATAATTAGCTATTTGCTTACAGTTATCTACAGAGTTGCGAGAAAACGGCATTTAGTCCGCTATTACAAGCTTCGTTTCATATGCGCATTTAAAACACTATTCAACCATTATAGCCTTTCATATGTTGACGTTTAAACCTCAGTTATGAACCGCTGTCTTTTACTTCAACATCTTTTATCACAGATGTAGTTTGTGCTTGGATAGAGATTTCATTAAGAATATATAAATGTATATGATCCAAAATAGTTTCATAATAAATTCACATAGGATGTGCATTCAGCTATACCTCAAAGCTTTTTGAAAAACTGATGCTGAAAAGTATCTTCTCATACAGTGAATGAAAAACGTGTATACCATATTCATAATGTATACGAAACCAAGACCCCAGATGACTAGATTTTTCAGTAACAGTTTTTTTATGTTAAAGGAAAGAAAGAAAGTTTGATCAAATCGATTACTTTTCGACAAATTGTTTCTACCATGCTAATAAAATGGCTCTCAAGCCATTAACGAATAAAGTCTGATTTTGCTTCCTAATTTACTTAGCACTGTATCTCTAGTGTAGCATTTAAGTCACTGAGTATTTTAAAAAGCTTAGTTATTGCTTTTAACCCTTTTATTTATACAAAAAAGAAACAGAATATTCATAGCGAATAAACTGATTAACAGTTGACATACATTCCTTGGTAATATGCTAACTATTCAGTAGCAGTTGCTCAGAGTTAGTAAGTAGTTTCTTTAATTATAAAGTTAAATGAATGGTTTTATCAATATTATAACACTTTGAATAACTGTATTTTAGTATAATTTATTCAACATTATTTTTACATTATAAAAATATTGAAGAAGACAACATATAAAAAATATGTTAGGAAATGAATACTAGAATAAATTACACACCTGTCAATACTCGTAGCTGCAATGGTAAACACTGAAACCGAAACCGTCAGGTAAGCAATGAAATTGCTTACAGTACAGTAAACAGAGCCAAACGGCCAATGGCTGTGTAACATGAAGATAAAGTTAAAAATACAGTTAAAAGTAGCCATCATCAGATCTGAGAGGGACAAATTTAAAAGGAAATAGTTTGTTACTGTTCTCATTCTCCTGTGAGCTATAACAATCCAGATAACAATAATATTCCCAAAAGTTGCTATGGTAACCATGAGCCCAAAGGTAATAGTCCAAAACAACTGTTGCCACCAAGGAAGAACATACTGACTAGTAAACTTATTTCTTGCCAACAGATTTTCTAAGCATAACTTTGTTACAATCGAAAAGTTAGATTCCTTCTCTTCCAAATATAAATAACTACTGTCTTCCAAAAGGTACACGGTCATGTTACTGTCACCACCCAGTTGGCTCACACACTCCGTTAAGTTGCGAAATAAAGTGGAGTTCGAACTGTGCAAATAGAATTTTAGAAGGTCTATAACATTTGGGGATTTTGAACTCATCTTAGCTCCGTAAAGTAAACTCTTCTAGTATAATGTTTTCACTTAAAACTTGAAGCATACAAAACTAGCAATAGAATGAGTAATACTTTCTTTGCCCGAACTGTTTATTTAATGATGTCTATGCGCTTGATAGAGACTGTGAGAACAGAGTTCATCCGAGATGAGCCCCATTAAAAAACGATTTCTAGCACTTGTTGTTTCATACAAGCCATCATTATTGACATGCGCATCTAATAGGTTACGTCATTCTCACACAGCAACAGGTAATAGACAGTTATGTGCCGTTATTATATGGATTCTATATATGGAATAGATCTGCCCCCAGTCTCTCCGCTCACTCTTTTAGCGCCATCTATTGTCATTTCGTGAAGCTCAAGAACTCTCTGTCGGTATTAATTCTGTGCTTTTTCTATGACTGAATTAAATACCGCTGATTATACTTGACGGAAATGTATCAGGAAATCAATCGTGTATTTAAGTTGTAAGTAAAGAGCTTAGTATTTTATTTTCTGGTGAAGAATAAAATATCTGAAGTGAATTCGTATTTTTCTGGTAACGCTAAATTACTAATACCTAAGAAGTCATATGTTGTATTTGATGACTGAAAATTGCCTGTTTGTAGTTAAGCACAAAGCTATACAATGGACTATCTGTGCTCTGCCCACCACGGGTATCGAAACCCGGTTTCTAATGGTGTAAGTCCGCCGACATGCCACCGGGGGGCAAAAGATGAAATAATTACAGTTGTCTTTAAACACCCAGTCCAGAAAACTTTAAAATGAATATTTGTGAAGTTGGTCAGAATACCATTTCTTAAATAATAAAGCGAGAATGCAAGTTAAATTTGTATTCAAAAATGAGAGATATAATCGTTAAAGACAATTCCAAAATTTTTATTCCTGCATTAACTATGCCATTCCAAATCTTAAGAATTAAAAGAATTATATCTTCTTCGCTAATGAAATACCTCTACAAAATATTAAAAATGTTACAAATTAGGAAATTTTTGACGTCCCAAGATAATCAACAAAGATGTAGAGCTCATCCTCTGCAATGTCTCATTGTTTCTGTGGCTAGAGTTACTTACAACAATCGTTTAAACCTTAATGATGTGGTAATGTACTAATTGACCAACGTGATCATGTGATTTAATTTTCGTCATATTATGAAATTTATAAGGTATTAGCTTGAGTACCCATCCGTTCGACGAGTGAAATAAAAACTCGTTTGTAACAATGGATAGGAAATTATACTTCTATTTTTTTTCTTAACATAGTAAACGTTAAAAGTGAAATAAAAGTACATAAAGTACCATACTGTTTTCAATAATTCTATCAATATGAAATTATATGGGGTTCCAACCCCCTCGTGTCATCCTGAAATGACTGTGTCATGTTGTGATTACTTGGTAGTTTTTCCGAAATTAGATGAGGAAACTACCCCCCCCCCCACCTCCACCTTTCTTGTGTCATCCTGTATCATTGTTTGAAGTTGGGTGCTGATTGATCAAGAAATATGGAAATGTATAAGGAACAGATACACACACATATTGACGTTTAGTTATATAGAGGGAAAAACTTAATGTGTTTCAGCGAATGTTCCGGTATATTAGGCCAGAGGAATGAATATTCATCTGTCTTCTTCAAGAGATTAATTCTAATCTAACTTTAGCTCAGAGTTATGATTTTAACTTATTGGCTTTCAACGCGTTCTTCCCAGCTATTCAAGTTGAAGAGGAAAGTTTAACATAGCCCCTTCTGTAGCAACTAACAACTTCGGTCTACAATCTCTCTAAGAATCGTGTGCTAAGACATAACTGCAACACAAAACCAAATGCAAGTATGTGTAACTGTTCTATTACTTGATTTTTTACAGAACAACAGTTGCAACAATGTGTTGACTGCTTTTTGGCATTTGTCTACATTAGACAAAAATAACTTTCTTTTTTATCATACATTATACTAGCAATTGCATTAAAGTTAACATTCAATTTTCTAAATTCTATATGGTCAACAGACACCAGTTGCTTAGCTATCTAAATCTAATCTCTTCTTAGATAATTCTTATACTCTTAACTGTCATTAATTCCTAAACCGTACAAATACAAACATTACTATCTTAAAACATAAACCTCTACTCCAGATGAATAGTCTAATTTCATGATGCTTTCCCACTCTTATTGACCATCTACTTAACTTTAAGTTCAAGAATCACGAATCACACTAAATGCGATAAACAATAATAATGATAATGTTAATGCTCTCACAATTTTTTTAGCAACAATTTATATTTTAATCAAGGTCCTCCAGAGAGACAGCAGTAATTTGACGAGGTGGCAAAGCGCAGATAGCCTGCTGTATAGCTTTGCGATGAAAAACAAACATTAAACTTAATTTGTTTGTTTATTGAATTTTGCGCAGAGCTACTCGAGGGCTGTCTGCGCTAGCCGTTTTTAATTTTGAAGTGTGAGGGAATGCAGCTAGTCAACACCCACCGCCAACATTTGGACTACTTTTTCCCGATGAATAGTGGGATTGACCGTCACATTATAACACCCTTATGCACGTTCAGTAACGGAATTCGATCTCATAACATGTAAGCTACGAGTCGAGACAACAGTATGAAAAAAACACAAAAGCTTTAAGCATGTGTAACAATTTGATTTAATAAAACACAAAGACTTAAGGATGGAAAATACATGGAAAAAATATCTGTATAATGAAATACTGTGTATCTTTCCTTCACAATGAAAGAGAAATGTAAGTGCAAAATAATGAGAAAACAGCACAGGGCATAGGCTTCAGGAGATTTGTTTATAAATTTGTCATTTGAAAAGTCTTAGGAATTTTGATGAAGAAATGGATTTTGAAAAAAAAATTGAAATGTTATGTACATGTCCTGGATAATAAAAGCAAAATTAAAGATTGTCAAATTCTGAAAACAAAATCGAAAGTTTAAAATTTGAGAGATTCGTCAAAACCCGATTTTTAGATTTTTAAGTTCTCAGACTTACGTTGAGATACTGGGGAAGTTCCAAAAGCTTAACCCTTGATGTTTTTATAGTGATTTTAAAAACTTCTATTTTTTTTCTTTTTACGACTATGGCACACAAGTTCAGTGGTTTACAAAAAATCATTTTTTTTCATTAAAACTCCAAAAGCTTAAATCTTTTTTAATAATTTTAATCACCTACAATTTACTTTTTCTTTTTCCATAAAACATTCACTTAATTTAGTCTTTTGGGAAAGAATAATTTAAAAACTCCAAACACATAATTTAGCCTTGATGTTTTAGTCCTAATATTGAGAAACTTCAATTGGTCCTTTCTTTTTCTTCAAAGATACACATGATTTTGATTTCACCTGAGCATTTTCCTCAATCCCTTAAAGCTTTACCCTGTTTTTAGAACTTAGACACTTTCGACTTTCCTTACATTTAGCAGATAATATAAACAAGATTTTTAATTCAGAAAAAAATTAGTTTAATCTATATTACTGAGATTTAAGACTTGCTTTTTTTTGTCAACATTTTTACAAAGTTGAATGTGTACTTTCTCTTGTGACAAAAATGTACAAGGTTAGAAATTTTGGAAAAAAAATTCATCAAATCTCTCCAATTTTAAACCTTTGTGTTTTTCTCATAAAATTGAATGTTTTTAATTTTGCTTTAGTTTTCAGGAAACATGCATAACGTTTGAGATTTTCACAAAATAAATTCATTCATCAAAACTTCTATGGCTTTTCAAATAATAAATTTATAATCAAGTTTCCCATGGCCGTATGTTTTATTATTAATTTGACCACCTTCAAAATATCTTGCATTGTGAAGGAATTATACAAAAATATGTTAAGATATTCAAAAAAAGATCCCTTGGTCATCAGAGTTCCTATAAAGTCTATTTTGTCAGGATTTTAAAATATCTCCCGTTTTTCTTTCTTTTATCACGATGACACACAAGAACTTTTTATCAGATTTTCATCATATTCAGTTGTGACTATGTTTTGCAAGAAATATACGCAAGATTTATTCTTTACACAAATATATTTCTTTTAAATAGGTTATTTGTGTGTGAGGATTCCAATTTTATTGGCTTGATTTCGGATTCGAGGCCTTTCGCACACTAGGCGTGTGCTCTACAAACAGAACTCAATAGTTAAACGCTTAGCAATTACTAGCAGTGCGCTTTTTAATAATTCATACTATCTCATTTTACCCCTTTCATCAACAAGGGCCCAAGTTGGGCGCGAGTTTTTCGTATGGTAATTTCAACTTTTATGTTTCCAGCATGCAGAATTTGAATCAGGAACCGTTCGCACAAAAGGTGAGTGTTTTATCAACCGAGATATAGAATTAACATCGTTTGCAAGTAAGGTACTTTTGAATGACTTAAATTACTACACATGTCTGACACCTTTGTGTTTCTTTCACAGTGTTACTATTTTAAGATTCATTTAGTGGGAAACATACATATAATTTTAGCTTTTCAAACAATTAACTTTTTATCAATTTCTCATGGCCCTAAGCTTTGGTGTTTCTTTTTGGAATTTCCTTTAGAGTAATTGGGTAGGACGGCAGAAGAACATTGGGCTTGCCACAAAATGCTTCACAGAGCAAAATCTAAAGTTTCCGATCTCATTTGAGATCGAAACAAAAAAAGAGACCAGACACAAGTTATACACTGTGAAGCAATTTGTATTTCATACAAACAACAATCAAAATTTAACAACAACTGTATCTTGTGTGCGCTTTTATCTATTAAATATGACTCCAAACTCATGAAAATGGCATTATACAATAATAACAATCGTGTTATTATTCTTAGCGAACATATACTACACGTACTACTGTTATGTGTATTAAATCTTAATTATCTACTGGTAATA